TGTGTCGGGGTGGGTGGGTTTTTGCGTGTCAGGTTGTGTGGGTGGGTGTGTCGGGGTGTGTGGGTGGCTGTGTGTCAGGGTGTGTGTCGGGGTGTGTGGGTGGACGTGTGTCGGGGTGTGTGGGTGGGTGTGTGTCGGGGTGTGTGGGTGGGTGTGTGTCGGGGTGTGTGGGTGGCTGTTTGTCAGGGTGTGTGGCTGGCTGTTTGTCAGGGTGTGTGGGTCGGTGTGTGTCGGGGTGTGTGGCTGGCTGTGTGTCGGGGTGTGTGGGTGGGTGTGTCGGGGTGTGTGGCTGGCTGTGTGTCAGGGTGTGTGTCGGGGTGTGTGGGTGGGTGTGTGTCGGGGTGTGTGGGTGACTGTGTGTCGGGGTGTGTGGGTGGGTGTGTGTCGGGGTGTGTGTCAGGGTGTGTGTCGGAGTGCGTGGGTGTGTGTGTGTCAGGGTGTGTGGGTGGGTGGGTGTCAGTGTGTGTGTTAGGGTGTGTGTGTGTGGATGGGTGTGTTTCGGGGTGTGTAGGTGTGTGTGTGTCGGGATGCGTGGGTGTGTGGGTGGGTATGTGTCGGGGTGCGTGTCGGGGTGTGTGTCGGGGTGTGTGGGTGGGTGTGTGTCAATGTGTGTGGGTGGCTTTGTGTCGGGGTGTGTGGGTGGGTGTGTGTCGGGGTGTGTGGGTGGGTGTGTGTGTCGGGGTGTGTCGGGGTGTGTGGGTGTGTGTGTGTCGGGGTGTGTGGGTGGGTGTGTTTCGGGGTGTGTGGGTGGGTGTATGTCGGGGTCTGTGGGTGTGTGTGTGTCGGGGTGTGTGGCTGGCTGTGTGTGTGTGGGTGGGTGTGTTTTGGGGTGTGTAGGTGTGTGTGTCGGGATACGTGGGTGTGTGGGTGGGTGCGTGTCGGGGTGTGTGTCGGGGTGTGTGCCAATGTGTGTGGGTGGCTGTATGTCGGGGTGTGTGTGGGGTGTGTGGGTGGATGTGTGTCGGGGTGTGTGGGTGGGTGTGTGTCGGGGTGTGTGGCTGGCTGTGTGTGGGTGTGTGGGTGGGTGTGTGTCAGGGTGAGTGGGTGGCTGTGTGTCAGGGTGTGTGGGTGGGTGTGTGTCGGGGTGTGTGGGTGTGTGTGGGGTGGGTGGGTGTGTCGGTGTGTGTGTGGGGGGGTGTCGGGGTTGTGTGGGTGTGTGGGTGGTGTGGTGTGTGTGTGGGTGTGTCGGGGTGTGTGGGTGTGTGAGTGGTGTGTGTCGGGTGTGTGTGTGTCGGGGTGTGTGGGTGGGTGTGTGTCGGGGTGTGTGGGTGGGTGTGTGTCGGGGTGTGTGGGTGTGTGTCGGGGTGTGTGGGTGGGTGTGTGTCGGGGTGTGTGTCGGGGTGTGTGTCGGGGTGTGTGGGTGGTTGTGTGTCAGGGTGTCGGTGGTTGT